GCTTTATCACTGGTGCACTTTGGTAGCAGACCAAATATGTGTCAAGTACAGTATCTAGTGAGTGGAGAATAACTGTAATAATTACAATTATAGTTAAAGTGAAGTTTGTATCAAAACTTTGGTCTCAAACATGAACTTTCGGGGTTGTATCCGCAGTGTGTCTTCTTCAGATGTGATTTCTCTGAAGCCGTGGTTCTCTATAACTGACTTGACACAATAACATCTGATGTTTTGAAGGACAAATGATAATATCAAAATTGCTATCATATACCGATGTAAATCACATGACTAACCCATGGTATTATGCAAACTGCTGAGCTCATTCAGTAAGGGAACAGTAAGGGACTGGCTGTCAGGAGGCTGGAGAAATGTTCTTGGCCTTACGGCTTTGGGCAAGTCAGCTTTGCTTTCTGAACCTTCGTTTCCCCACCTGTGAAGTTTGGAGGGATGGAAAGAAGCCTGAGGTGCTAAAGTTAACATTCATCCGTTCCTGGCCTGTAGAGTCTTCTTCAGCTACGGGTGGAACTGCGTCGTTGTCGTCTTTTTTTTTTTTTTAAATAATTAAATTTTAAACATTTCATGCATCTCCAATCATCGTGTTTTATCTGTCCTCCAAAGGAGGAACAGGTAAGGATTATCCCACCTGACGATGGAACTGCATCTTCTCACCAGTTCAATGACACTGTTTTGCAGTCCCTCCTCAAAGATGGGAGTGGGGAGGGTTGGTGACTTTGTAGTTGGTGAGAATGAATCGGAGACACTGTGATCAGCCCTCTAGAATGGAGTATTGTGTGGGCTTTAGCATAAAAAGAAGCAAAGGACCATATTAGGAGTCTTTTCATACAATTAAATTTATTCAATTAAAGGAGTATCCTTTCTAAAAAGAAAAAAAAAAAGTCCTGCTTTCTTGGTGTTAAATCATCTTTTATGAAACGATGATAATAGTAAATGGCGATATATGGTGATTGTAAATAGCAAATAAATAATACAGGGTTAACTATTTTATTGTGATTTTTAAAAATAAAGAGAGCCGAGAATCTGGTGTTTTGCTGATGTTGTTAGGGAGTTTAGGAAAAAGTTCCTGGGGCTTTTGCTGTTAAGAAGATTCAAATATAGATTATTTCTTAAGAGTAAATATGAGTTTACTTTGAGGTCGTTTGTCACAATCTACTGAGAAATCCACTGAGAAAGCTGTTAAATTTGCCTGGCATTAAAGATGTTCCTATTCTGACCATTGTTAAATCTTTTCTTATTGGATATAAAATGTCTGGAGATTTTTTGTGTGTGTGTGACGGAGTTTTGCCCTTGTTGCCCAGGCTGGAGTGCAGTGGCACGATCTCGGCTCACTGCAAACTCCGCCTTACGGGTTCAAGTGATTCTCCTGCTTCAGCCTTCCTAGTAGTTGGGATTACAGGTATACGCTACCACTCCCAGCTAATTTTGTATTTTTAGTAGAGACGGGGGTTTCTCCATGTTGGTTACGGTCGTCTCGAACTCCTGACGTCAGGTGATCCGCCTACCTTGGCCTCCCAAAGTGCTGGGATTATAGGCATGAGCCACCGAGCCCCGCCCCAGGAGATTTCTTTTTTACGCTGTGGTGTGCCAACAAAATAAGCCTAGGCAGGGAAATTCCTCCGGGTGGTTGGAATTGTTAGTATTGAATAGACTAGCTGCAAGGTAAAGAACCCCCCTGGGGTTCTCTTATCAGCTCAGAAATCTTTTAACACTGTGACCTCAGTCTTTTGCTGTGAAACAGCATGACCATTAAGAAAGTAGGCTTAAACAATGTATTTTGGGTATGTTGAGGGGGAGGGGCAGTTATGATCTGTTCCAAAGCGAACATAACAGATGATCTCTGTGTCTGTAAAGACTTAAAAATTTATAGTGCTCTGCTGTTAGTCTCAAATAAGATTTAGAATTATTGTGACATACTCTTAAAAAACTGCAGTGTATCAAAAGATACATTTTGAAAGCATCTTGAAATGAAATTAATGATATAATATCTACTTTCTTCATAATAGCAATTTTTTTTTTTTGAGATGGAGTCCCGCTCTGTCTTCCAGGCTGGAATGCAGTGGCGCAATCTCGGCTAACTGCACCCTCCGCCTCACAGGTTCAAGTGATTCTTCTGCCTCAGCCTCTCGCGTAGCTACTACGCCCTGCTAATTTTTTGTATTCTTAGTAGAGATGGGGTTTTACCGTGTTAGCCAGGATGGTCTTGATTTCCTCACCTCATGATCCACTCAGCTCAGCCTCCCAAAATGCTGGGTTTACAGGCGTGAGCCACCGTGCCTGGCCCACAATAGTAATTTTTACATTCTGAAGACTGACTGCTCTCAGCCACTTCTGAGTTCTCTGTTTTCAAAGGATAATTTGGTAACTCCATAAACGAAATTTGTAAAGAAGAGAGTGAATTTTTTTTTCTGTGTATTTTCTATATATCTTATAAGATTTTATTTATTTTTACTTTTATTAATTTTTATTTTTGAGACAGAGTATTGCTCTGTCCCCCAGGCTGGAGTGCAGTGGCGCAATCTCGGCTCACTGTAACCTCTACCTCCCAGTTCCAGCGATTCTTCTGCCTCAGCCTCCCGA